AAACAAAAAAAATTCCTTTCACATCTCCTGGTGTACCAGGGAAAATGTCTCCACGTGTCACTAATTGGCATGTGTGCAAGGGGTTGCCTATCCCCAGTCTAGGCCTTTGAAGGAGGCATTTTTTGAAACAAGGGGTTCTGATTGACTGGGATCATTAAAAATACTAGGTCCTTTTTGTAAGAATTGTGGAACCATTACAGTGTTCTGGCTGTATTCTGATGCTGGGAGTTACAATCTCTGTTCCTGTATTCCCTCTGCAATTTCAGATGGATACAGTATGCTTCAATTCTTGCTCTAAAGTCTTATATTGCTCTGGCTGTACTTCAGTGGTAGAGAAATGAATCTTGTATATATTTTGTGTATCAGTCTACATTTTTGTAAAACTCTTGGGATCTTTTGAGATAAAGATACTATATTAGGTGTATAATTGATATAGCTTTTTAGACTTCATGCATTTTATCATATTTATGTGAATTTAAGACAATCTGAGGGGGGAAAAAAAACCTAGTGTATTGCATCCATCAGAAGTGAATGCATCCAGGTTGACCAGTCTTTGCAGGCAGGCTTAATGGGTTAATTATGGGCAGATCTTAACTGTGAAATATAAGGCAAGTCAGTAAACTTGTCGGGATGAGGACTTTAGTGCTGCTTTCCAGCTTGTGGAAGAATGTGGTGTGGAATGCAGTTTTTACCTACGTAGCCAATGGAAATGGGTATCCAGGGTGTATTGGTCTAGAGGAAAAGGCAATCAGGACTCATAGTAGAGATGATCTATTTAATTAGGCTTAACAACATTTTTGGAAAAAAATGTCTTTAATTGCTAGCTTTCAGGCACAAGCAGCCTTCTTCAGGCATTGGAGAAAAGATTGTAAAAGTTTTCCTGGGTAGAAATGGAAGTTCGTATTTAGTTCATATTCATTTCTACCCAGAAGAACTTTTACAATCTTTTCTCCAATGCCTGAAGAAGGCTGCTTGTGCCTGAAAGCTAGCAATTAAAGACATTTTTTTGGCAAAAATCTTGTTGGTCTAATAAAAGATATCATCTCTACTATGAGTCCTGATTGCCATTGGAAATACAAATACAAGCAATTTTTCAGCAAACAGTTGCAGGAAGATAGCTTGAAAAGACCCATCCATATATATAAGGAGAGTGCTTTTGTTGACAGGTGCATACTACAAGGAAAGAACCCAGGTGAAACAATGTGGCCTTAATTCCATTTTGAAAATGCTAATTTTTTAACATGGGTTTCAGATGAGTTAAACAAAACATCCACTCACTTAGCCCTTTCAAGGAGCAGAGGCTGAAAAGAGTTGTGATCAAAAACAGGCCCCGTACCCATATCCATATACAGACAATCATGGTTGTGGTTCATTCTTAGGATGTCCATTTCTATGTATTATGAATTCATTTAATTCAAATAATATTTTGTTGTGTCAATACAGTCAAACTTCAGCTATGCATTCATCATTTAATTCTCATACACATTTCCAGGTTTGACTTCAGTTGATCAGTCCTTACAGGTAGGCTTAATTGGTTAATTATGGACTGATCTTAAATGTGAAATAAAGGGAAGTTAGTAAAACCTTGTCCTTTCTGACATGCCAAAATCATGGTGTCCAGCAATTCAGCGTTGAATTGCTGGTGTATGACACTATACAACTAGAGTCTATCAATACATTCTCAACTTAGTTTGAAAACAGAAGGGGGGATACCAGTTTTCAAGTTAATCTGAACATGATGCATCTGTCACTAAATAGAATTCCTTTCTCCTTCCTGTTGTCAATGGTTCTGGACTATCTTCTGCTTTTTTAATGTAATGACAACACATATTGTGGGGCACAGGCCATCAAGACTCTTTATTTTTATTTCCTTTCAGACATTTGCTTTCCTCCAGTATGAGACCCCAATACCCTCACCTTCCAAAAGACAGCCAAACAATAATCTGTAGCTTCCTTTGGCATCCTACATGCTTCAAAACATGCTTGCTTAGTTTTTCTCATTCAGTGAAACACACACATCTTTAGTTACTGGATTTACATTTTTATTAATTATATACATTTGTTCTTTTTATTAAACCTAGTTATGTAGCTTAAGTCTTTTTGTTCTGCTGCCACTAATCTAGGTATGGACAGTGATTCACCTAAAATACTAGGCCTGTGCGAAGCGGCTAGTATTCGCTTCAGATTTGAATTTGGCTGATTCGGAGGACAGTGATTCAATTCAGTGATTTGAATCACTGTCCCAAATTGATTTGGCCAAATCTGATTTGGAGATTTGGCCACTGCTGAATCAGCCCCATCTCCTGCCCGCTCTCA